TTTTTTTTGGGAACTACTACTGGCAATTGTCTTCTTAGCACAGAGAGTGTGATTAGTCTTAGTAACTAATTGTTTTCTTTCCGCGAAATCTCGCCATACGAACGCGAATATAACTTCTTGCGAAACTCATTCTTAATCGTGCAGATCCTCACCTGTTCCCCCGAGACTTTTCAACAGCTTCCCTAACATTGTCAACAGCTTTGATTGAATCATATTTTCGATTTGCATACGTCATTGTGTCTGAAATGGTTGTTGATGCGATAGAGCGAAGAATGTATTATTTATTTGGTATTGTCTTCTTGTGCCATTTTTAAGGGTTTGCGGGTTATATTTTCGGTCCAAGTTCAACATTACTCGTACGGCCTGCGACAGTATCGTCCCTTTTAAGGCTTTAAGCCAGCCCCAGGGAGAGCCACCGGGAGGGCCGGAGGGTGCCGGACCCGGAGGGAGCCGGAGGGAGCCTGAAGGGAGCCGCCGGAGGAGCCGGACCGGGAGCCGGAGGGAGCCGGAGCCGGAGAGAGCCGGAGAGAAGCCGGAGAGAGCCAGAGAGCCAGGAGAAGCCAGGGAGAGCCAGGGAGAGCCAGGAGAGGCCAGGAAGAGCCAGGGAGAGCCAAGGAGAGAGAGGAGAGAGAGAGAGAGAGAGAGAGAGAGAGAGAGAGAGAGAGAGAGAGAAGAGAGAGAGAGAGAGAGAGAGAGAGAGAGAGAGAGAGAGAGAGAGAGAGAGCAGTGATTTGTCTTCAGACCGAAATGCACCCATTTCAGTCTGGAGAGGAATCAAGTCTGGTTAGTCACAGTTGGGTATTTCCCTTTTAAGTTTTTACTTCTCTGCGCAGAGTTTCTGTTTGTATTCCCCCTCAGTCACACGGACGCAGCTACCCATACTTGCAACCTAAAATTAAAATAGAAGATAGGTACTGTGTTCCATATATGTAGTTGTTGCACAAGGGTAGACTTAATTTAAAGTGTAAATTATGTTGTGCTACAGAATTGCACATCGAATTTTTAATAATAGCAGTTAAGTTAAAGGTACAGCCAGTTTCTCCTTAGTACGAAGTAGATCTTGGAAACTGCAGCTGTTTCTAATTTGGTGTACTTTAACTAGCCCTGCGTCTTTGGGTGAGGCTTGTTTTTTTTCAATGGTAAAAAATAAATTGCGGTTTTATTTTCCTGCATTACTCTTTTTTTTATCAGATTTGTCGTTCACTGCGGTTTTATTTTCCTGCATTACTCTTTTTTATCAGATTTGTCGTTCACTGGTTAATTCCAGTTTTTTTTCCCAAGGATCGGAAAGCCGTTGCTCGTTCAGGCTCGTCTTTGCACGAATAACACTGCTGTTCCTGCCAAGGCGTTGATCCTGCAAGCATGGTTCGCCTCGTCTGTTTGATCGCGGTTTACGTAACTAACCGAGGGTCTGAGTCGAGAGCAGGTCGTGTTGGACGCGTTTGGGAAGCGGCGGCGTAGGCGGGGTCAAAGCATTGCGTGCATCTTGCTTTGCTGGTGGTGGTGGGGGTGGGGGGTTAGGTGCTTACCTCTTTGTTAGTGCTTTATTTTTGTGTTTGATTATTAATATTATTATTGTTGTTGTTATTATTATTATTGTTATTATTATTATTATTATTATTATTATTATTATTATTATTATTATTATTATTATTATTATTATTATTATTATTATTTTGTCATCATTATGATTATCATCATCATATTATTATTATTATTAATTATTATATTATCATTATTATTATTATAATAATAATTTTTGTTTATTGTTATCATTATTATTAGTAGCAGCAGTAGTAGTAGTAATAATAAAAGTAATATCGTTGATTTAAGTATTTGTTTTTCACGATATGTTTCGAGCGCGAAATAGAATGATCGCGTATGAGAGTTGCCCTTGTGCATTGCTGCGCCCCTAAAGCAAAAGATTGCCAGGCCACTTGTGTCGTTATCCGAAGAATGCAAGATCTTTGCCAAGGGAGGAATGCTGGTGATCTATCCGGCAAGATTTACAAAAAGTGCTCCAAGTTGCATTTTGTTTAGAGGCGAAAGTTAAAGGTTGGCAGCTTTTTATGCCTGGCGGCTAAATATACGCGGTGTATATCGGAGCTTGGCTTGTTCGTTGTTGTTCGGTAATCTGCAGGCAGAGCTGCGTCAGCGCGTGAACTCCGCCCCGCTTTCATCAACACCTTTTCAATGCCTTCGTTTGTTTTTCTTTCGCCATTAAAAAAAAAAAAAGAGCCGTTTCCCCGGGGATCGGAGGCACGTCAGTCTCGCCGGAATGCCATTCATTGCCGATGAGCCGATCGGGTTGGAGACGGCCGCCGTTGCCCCACGTTGGCCGGGCACGTGAGGGTAGGGCGGGCATGGGGTGCGGGGCGAGGGGGATGCCGCTGTCCTGCCACCTGGGACGCTCTGGTACTAGCCGGCGCGGTGGACCTCCTCCAACTCTGGATTCCTGCTCCTGTTCCTCATCCTTTTTCTGCTTCTTCTTTTCTTTTCTTCTTCCTCCTCGTCCACATTAGTCATCGTTGGTATTTTGAACTTCGTATTCATCTTAATATCCTGAATTTGATATCACCATCCCTTTTAATTTTAATGTTCACCTTAATATTCTCAACTTAATATCATCATCGTCGTCATTTTTTAATCCAAGTTCGTCCTTATATTCTCAGCTCAGAACTATCATCCTCATCATATCCTCAGATGGATAATTTCATCTTCGTTATCGCCGTTATTATCGTTTCTCTCTCTCTCTCTCTCTCTCTCCTCTCTCTCTCTCTCTCTCTCTCTCTCTCTCTCTCTCTCTCTCTCTCTCACTTCTCGTCTCTCTTCTCTCTCTCTTCATTCTCTCTCTCGATCTCTCTCTCTCTCTCTCTCTCTCTCTCTCTCTCTCTCTCTCTCTCTCTCTCTCTCTCTCTCTCTCTCTCTCTCTCTCTCTCTCTCTTCTCTCTCTCTCTCTTCTCTCTTCTCTCTTCTCTCTTCTCTCTCTCTCTCTCTCTCTCTCTCTCTCTCTCTCTTCTCTCTCTCTCTGCCTCTCTCTCTCTCTTCTCTCTCTCTCTCTGCCTCTCTCTCTTTCTCTCTGCCTCTCTTCTCTTTCTCTCTGCCTCTCTCTCTTTCTCTCTGCCTCTCTCTCTCTGCCTCTCTCTCTTTCTCTCTGCCTCTCTCTCTTTCTCTCTGCCTCTCTCTCTCTCCTCTCTGCCTCTCTCTCTTTCTCTCTCTGCCTCTCTCTCTTTCTCTCTCTTTCTCTCTGCTCTTCTCTCTTCTCTCTGCCCTCTCTCTCTTTCTCTCTGCCTCTCTCTCTCTCTGCCTCTCTCTCTTTCTCTCTGCCTCTCTCTCTTTCTCTGCTCTCTGCTTCCTCTGCTCTCTCTCTCTCTGCCTCTCTCTCTCTCTGCCTCTCTCTCTTCTCTCTCTGCCTCTCTCTCTCTCTCTCTCTCTTCTCTCTCTCTCTCTCTCTCTCTCTCTCTCTCTCTCTCTCTCTCTCTCTCTCTCTTCTCTCTCCTCTCTCTGCCTCTCTCTCTTTCTCTCTGCTGCCTCTCTCTCTTTCTCTCTGTGTTTTCTTTTTCTCTGCTTATCTCTGCTCTCTCTACCTCTCTCTTCTACTCTTCTCTCTATCGCTCTACCTCACCTCCCCTCTACTCACCTCTTTCTCCTCTTTCCCTCTCACTCCCCCCCCTCACTCTCTCTCGCTTAAGTCGATTTTCTGTTGGTTAACTTCTCTAGTCAGTCACTAATTATGATTCTCTCTCTCTCCTCTCCTTCTCTCTCCTCTTTCTCTTCTCTTCTCTTTCTCTTTCTCTTTCTCTCTCTCTCTCTCTCTCCTCTCTCTCTCTCTCTCTCTCTCTCTCTCTCTCCTCTCTCTCTCTCTCTTTCTCTTCTCTTCTCTCTCTTCTCTCTCTCTCTCTCTCTTCTCTCTCTCTCTCTCTCTCTCTCTCTCCTCTCTCTCTCTCTCTCTCTCTCTCTCCTCCTCTCTCTCTCTTCCTTTCTCTCTGCCTCTCTCTCTCTTTTCTATGCCTCTCTCTTTCTCTCATGTCTCTCTTTTCTCTTGCTTCTCTACTTCTCTCTGTCTTTCTCTGCTTCTCTCTACTTCTACCTCCCTCTGCCTCTCTCTACCTTTTCTCCTTCTCTTTCCTCTCACTCCCCCCCTCCTCTCTCTTCTCTCGCTCTCTTTGACTCAGTCGATTTTCTGTTGGTGGTAACTCACTATCTCTATCAGTCACTAATTATGATTCTCTCTCTCTCTCTCCTCTCCTTTCGTTTCTCTTTCTGTCCTCTCTCTTCTCTCTCTCTCTCTCTTCTCTCTCTCTCTTCTCTCTCTCTCTCCTCTCTCCTCTCTTCTCTCTCTCTCTCTCTCTCTCTCTCTCTCTCTCTCTCTCCTCTCCTCTCCTCTCCTCTCCCTCCTCTCCTCTCTCTCCCTCTCTCATCCTCTCTCCCTCCCTCCCTCCCTCCCTCTCCTCTCTCTCTCTCTCTCTCTCTCGTCTCTCTCTCCCTCTCCGTCTCTCTCTCTCCCTCTTCTCTCCTCTCTCTTTCTCTCTCTCTATCTATCTATATATCTATCTCTTTTCTTACTTTTTCTGTGACGAGAGAGGTAGAGAAAAATAGTTCTGCACCTCATTTGTTCCTTTCCAAACACTTTCCTATTCGAGGGTTCGTCAAAACACTCGCTGGGCTGGTGATTACGCATGATCGATTAATATTTTTGCAAATGTTATTTATTGCCTGTATTTTCCCAGTCTTTTCTTTTAGTAGTTTAGTAAGGGTTTTGCCATTAGTTAGTAGTATGTACCTTAAACTAAACAAATAAGTAAGAGAGAACACTGGGCAGATACACGTGGCTCGTAGGCCTAGCCAAATACAATAATCCCGAAGTCACGTGCAGCCGGCGCTCGTGTTGGTGTCGTAAGACTGGAGCCGGAGGGGGGGGGGCGTATTGGGGAAGGAATAGTAGTGAGAGAAGGAGGGGAGGAAGGGGGGGTTGTGCTTACTTGAGGCCGGCTCGTTCACTCGCTTGCTCGTATGTCGACGGCAGTGGTCACGTGTGTTTGTGTGCGTGCGCGTGCCTGGACTCTCCGAGAGGCGGTTTAGTAAGAACGTTCCGTGGCAGTGGCGATGCACGAGCGTAGGGCGCTAGTGATGGCGTGGCTCTTTTACAGTTTGTTGGTGTATTTTACGTTATTAAGTGGCGTGACATGTTTGGTGCCCATGAGTGGTTATGGTGCGTATCCCTCGTGACTCGTGGTGGTCCTGAAATTAGAAATTAAGATGTAAGGATTGATTTACAGTGACACTTGTAATGATTTTATCTGTGGTCAGTGACAGTGGTGGTGATGCAGGAAATCATTTGATCGCTATCCATGAAGGCGAAACAAAGGTCATATTGATAATTCAGTGGTCGTGCCCAAAAAATTAGCCTTCTGTTGGGTAGTTGGGTCATTTGTGTCGTCGGGTATGGCCTTCCTTACCAGATGCCGCCTTCACATCTCGCGTTAACGTACAAATAACTTCACTTCACTTCATTCACCCACTTACACTCCCTCACTCACTCAGTTCTGACCAGTCCAGTCAGCCAGACAGACATCATTCAGTCAGCAGAGGAAGGGAATGGACTGCACAACACATGCAAGAAGGTTCTCCGTTATTTTAGGAATATAGTTTGTATTGTCAGTTATGTCTGATCATTGTGCATGATAGGAAAACACGAATACTTCGACATTTAACCCATTCACCCTTTCACACATCACCACATATAATGATTGACTGTCAGTAAACTATCAGTAATGGTCAGTGTTTACTATATTAACAACTATTATCGCCAAGGCAAAGTGAAACATTAAGGATCCTGTTAACCGGCATACCCTAAAATACTATTATTTATTCGATTTTTATTTTTATTCCGCATGCGATTTGATTATTATTTTTTTGCCACGAATGATGTTCTTTGAAATGTTTCAAAAATATAGATAAAGAAATAGTCAGATTTACTGAATTCGGAAATCCATAGAGCCAAAATGTGAGAGCTAGGTGTCAACTTGTATTAAAGAAAAAAAATGGTCTGACATTTCCGACCTATTAATTTTTGCTGATGCTGGAACCTTAACATGTTTTACTCGGTCTTATGATGATACATGATGACCATATTATTTTATTAATGATTATTTTCGATATCTTTCCAGGTATGTGTAAGGAGGAAGTTGAAGCTATGCAGGTAAATATGCAACATTGTAAGGAAATACTTTTGTGCCAGACTGTGCCTGTGTCTTCTTAAACAGCTTTAGATAATTAAAAGTAAATTCGAGAGGCAGGGACTATAGAAGCCATGGTGGCACATTATAGTGTCCTACTTCTGTTCTTTTTAGTAGTGGATAGTGTTTATAATTCTTGGTATCAAATCCAGTACGACTTGCTTGCTTGTTCGTTTTGAATGTAGGTTGACTCGAAGACAGTCCTTTGTATTTTAATCTAGGCATTTAGTATCAAATCTAGTATTGAGAATATGGGAGATGAATATTTTACTCATGTATATATATTTTTTTCTTTAAAAAAGGACAGTACAGTTGGATGTAGAGAATTGGACTTGTTCAGGCAGTCAGACGCTAACACGGTGAATAGAGTGGTTAGGACTCTCGAGTTTGTTTGATAATGCCCAAGGGTTGCGATAAAAAGCGGATTGAGGGGTGAATGAGGAAGAAATAGGGGTAGAGACATCTGGCAACTCAGTGAGGTAACTTTCCCTTTCTATATATTTTGTGGATAGGTAACCAGGGTGTCGAGAACAAATAAACAGAGTGTATAATAAGAATAAACATGAAAATAACATGTAAAGAACGTTATAACAACGAAATGGCATCCTTTTGGGTCCTGCTCGAGGCGATGAATCATTTCCTCGTCCAGATACCTCCGCCAAGGTCAAGAAACTCGAAAGAGGAGGAGGAATGTAAAGAAAAAAAAAGGAGAAAAGAAAGTTGCTGAGAAATTACCCCTGCAGGAAAATTAATCAGGTAAAGGAAGGAGGGAAGAGGAAGTATTCTCTCCCGAAAGATTTGAATAATGAGAGGTCTCTTTAGACTCTTTTCATGAACTTCACGAGTGGAAAGTTCTCTGAGCCAGCCTAAAGATTCAGAACAGCCTGATTAGGGGATTAGGTTGATTGGGTAGCCATGTTGAATTTAACCCTTTCGCGCCACCCTGAGCCCATTATCATTTTGAATCGTGTAATGAACAGGGACAACATGGGCTGATTCTTTGTTTCGTGGCCCGTACGTGTTCCTACCATTCAGGGGCCGGATTCACTAACTTACCATCGTAAACAGACAGCGTTGGTATTCACTAACAACTTACCGTCGGAGTTAGAAAGGTAAATTTTACCTGTGGTCGAAGCGCTGAGAAGTCCGCTGGTAGCTTCGAGGACAACGATGTCATCACGTGTTATCTCGTCCAAAAATATATTTTTTGAAATCTCTTCCATTTTTTTTTTTTTTTTTAACTATCACGATTGCATTGATGAAAAGCACAAATCACAAGAGGTTCATGATGTAGAAATGTAAATTTCACATGAAATAAGCTAGAATACTGTCCACATAAATTTTCGTAAATTTTAAGGTAGACATCAGCCTATATGAGACTATAAAAAGTATATGGAATCGATAGATCTGTGAACTCCTAAAGCATTATTCTTCTTCTAACATTATTGCAAATTCTAAAGAAAACAAACTTATTGATACATAAACAGGCAATATAAATGTTAAACGAATATAGCAACTTATGTGTCTGTCGGCACTGTGGATTATTTCCTTTGTTTGACAGTAAATGGCGATTAATAAGAATGTGTTTGGTACGGTTCCTTGTTTGGCGATGAAGAGAAATTTATAAGTAGATCAATACAAATTGTATTTGGGCTGATTCTTTGGTTGACTGTAAGTAATATTTTTGTTATTAACTCGTTACGTGTATGATAGCGTCTGTACTGGTTCTTATTTTGACAATAAATAGTCAAACATTCCACTTGATGGTTATGATCAAACATTCCACTTGATGGTTATGATTAAACACATGGCGCATTCATGATTAAAAACACGCTGAGTCGTTGAGTTTTGTTTACATGTTTACGATCCCTTCATGAATCCTACTTTTGCGTCGCTGGTAAACGTGATGGTAACTGACCGCTATCAATGCGTTACGCCCATAATTGTCATTATTATTATTATTATTATTATAGTTTTTGTTGTTATTGATTATTGTAATTATCAGTATTGTTATTATCTTGATCATCGTTAGTGTGTGTGTGTGTTTGTGTGTGTGTGTGTGTGTGTGTGTGTGTGTGTGTGTGTGTGTGTGTGTGTGTGTGTGTGTGTGTGTGTGTGGATATCCTTCCCTGGACTTCCCTAGGGGTTGTTTTTCCTCCTTGTCCCTGCTCTTGCTTACGATCGTCAAGGCTATTTTAGGTGCCGCGGAGACTCAACGCTCGTCCCCTTGGCACTGTCCTCCCGATTATCCTATTTGTCTTTTGTTTGTTTTTTTTCTCGCCTTTTCCTTTTGCTGTTTGCTGGTGAAGTGTTTGATGAGGCGCTTATGGTTCACACGTGGTGGGGGGGCGGGGGGGGGGCGAGGAAGGGGGGCGGAAAATTGATTGGAGGCTTTTTTTTTTAATCTTTAGACGCGCAGGTGATGATGACCCCCGTGAGGAGGAGGGGGGGGCGGCGCATGTGTGGGCGTGTTTTTGCTGTGTGTGCCGGTGTTTTTTTTTTTTTTTAGGTGTGTGTGTGGGTGTGTTTGTTTTTGCAGTGTGTATGTGTACGTGTTTGTTTTGCAGTGTGTATGTTACGTTTTTGTGTTTTGCGTGTTGTGTGTGTTTGTCCTGTGGGTGTGTTTTGCAGTGTGCGTATGTGCGTGTTTGTGCTTTGCGTTGTGTGGTGTGTGTGTGTGTGTGTGTGTGTGTGTTGTGTGCGTGTGTGTGTGTGTGTGTGTGTGTGTGTGTTGTCGGGTGTTTTTGTATTGTTTTTGTATTGTGAGAAAGCCAGAAAGTGGATTTCATGTGTTTTAAGAAATTATTGTTGGTTCATTCGAATCCGATTGCGAAACGTGTAGGGATTTGTATGTGGTAAATTTGGATCCGTGAACGGAATTATTGGATTGTACCAAGCCGCCCTGATTGAATCGCAATTGCAGATAAAGGCATTACTATCCCCTAGAGTGATAGCCACGAGTAGATCATGTGATCGCGAAAGCAACAGGTTCTCCACTCAATTCTCTTTTGTCTGTAATGTGACTGTATGGCATTCCCGCGGCCAACCCCCCCCCCCCCCCTCGTGCAGCCGAAACGTGGCCTGACCAATCACCAGCTGCCTGTACCCAGTATCACCTGGGTATTTTTGCTCCCACCTGGACGGAGGGGCGGAGTCTTCTCTCGGGAATGTGGATCATTTGTTTTATTCTGCTCTACACATGCGTTTCGTATTGATTTTGATGGTTGTATTACTTTTGTAATGTTTGTTTTATTGTACAGTTGTGTGGGATGATTATTATTTTTTAGTTTTTAGTTTACTATTATTAACGTTTTTGTTGAGTTATTTTTTTTTTTATCGTCAATCATTATCATTATTGTTGTTTTTATTCTTATTAGGATAATTGTTATTCTTCATATTATTGTTGTTGTTGTTATTGATATTGCTTTTGTATTTCCATTGTCGTTACTGTTATCACCATGCCATTATTTTTGTTACTTTTATCATTATTATCGTCATTTTGATTATTATTATTAAGGATGATATTGCAGTTATAGGTCATGTGAGTGCTTTCAACTTTTTTTGTTGCGTTTGCCGTTTTAATTGTCTGCATTAGAGATTCATTTATGCATGGGAGGATGAACATAGCAGTGTTTTTATTTGAACTGCCAGCATAGCGGTAATTGGAATTCCGGGGACCAGAGAGATTTGCGGCGGGCGACATGACGTGTGGGCGGATGTCGCATCATGGGCGCGGATATATCGGGTAATCGCAACATGGGAATGAGGATGGATCGAGCTCGGCTGTGACACGCCGGGATGGGGGAAATCGATGGAAGGGTCACATGCGGGCACTGCGCGGGGGAAATCGCCTTCGGGACGGAGGAGGACGGGGGGGACGGGACGGGGACGGAGGACGGAGGACGGGGACGGACGGGGACGGGACGGGACGGGGGACGGGGACGGGACGGGGGGACGGGGACGGGACGGGACGGGGGGAAGGGGCACGGAGGGAGAGGGAAGGAGAAGATGGGGAAAAGGAGAGGGGGGCGAGAATGCTGGGGATTGGCGGAGCAAAACCTTGGGGAGTTGCCATTGCTGGAGAGAGGGTCCGGGGATGGGGCTCGAGGGAGAAAGTAAAGGGCGGAAAGAAGGGGACGGAGGAAGCGAAGGGAAGGTTGTAGGAAGAGCAGGAGAAAAGGAAGGGGAGAAGAATGAGATGGAAACAAGAGAAAATTATTGAGGGAATTATTGAGAGAGGGAGGAGAAAGGGAGTGAAGACATTATTAAAAGTGGGAAGAAGAGAAAACAAGAAACAAAAGGAATGGGGACAATGAATTAGAATAATTTACATTCAGTGTTTGTTATCCAGAGGCAGGCAAATGCGGACGGGAAGAATAGTAGAACGAGAGAGAAATGAAACGAAGAAGAGGAGGAAAGATAAAAAAGAAGAGAAGGAAACGAGGAAAACAAAAGAGGACAGAAGCCAGTGGATCTTCATTCCGTTGATGATCTGAAGTGAAGGCACTGTTTACGAACCGTGATCCTGGCCCGTATTTTCTCCAGGGTTTGGCTTAATCTTTCCACTTTCTCGCTGGGTAGAGGAAGGCAGGGGGGGGGAGGACGAAGAGGAAAGGGGGGTAGAGGACAAAGAGGAAAGGAGGGGAAGGACAAAAAGGAAAGAGGGGAGGATAAAAAAAAGGGTGGGGAAGGACAAAGAGGAAAGGGAGGGGGAAGGACAAAAAGGAAAGGGGAGGATAAAAAGGAAAGGGTGGGGGAAAGGACAAAGGAAAGGGGGAGGATAAAAAGGAAAGGGTGGGGGAAGACAAAGGAAGTGTGGGGAAGGACAAAAGGAAAGGGTGGGGAAGGACAAGAGGAAAGGAGTGGGGAAGAACAAGAGGAAAGGAGTGGGGGACCAAGAGGAAAGGGGGGTAAAGGACAAAAAAGAAAGGGGGGAAGGACAAAAAGGAAAAGGGGAATTCTT